GGCAGTTTGTTTGCCGTTATCCACTGTACTCAACCTGCCCACATTAATACACTTATTATTTTAAGCTTTTCGATGATATCAGGCCTGGTGTATTAACACCTCCTCAAGTTATTAAATGAATGAAACATTCATGCGAAATTCTCTTTAATCCTAAATCATAATTGAAGGGTTTCATTGATGGGCCAGTGTGTAGGATTTAGGGGGATATATTTGCAGAAATGGAATATAATATAAGAAGTATTATTTCTTTAGTGTATAATCATCTGAAAATAAGAATTGTTGTGTTTTTGTTACCTCAGAATGAGCCGTTTATATTTACATAGGAAGTGGGTCTTTGTCCACAGAGATCGTCAAGACTTTTAACTGGTGGCATGTTTCAGAAGTCCACCTTCATTATTTCTGTAAAACATGGTGAACGTAAAGAATAAGATGAGAAGAAGATTGATACTGCTGAAATGTCTGTACACTAAGTATGAAGCTACCGTCAGCAGAAGGCTAATTTAGCATAGCATAAAGATTGGAAAGAGAGGGCAACAGCTGGTCTGGCCCCATCCAGAATCTGCCCAGCAGCACTTCTAAAGCTCACTAATATCACTTATGTCTGATTTGTTTAATCCGTACAAAAACTGAAGTGTGAAAATGTGCACTTCACCCTTTGTCAGGACCTGTCCTCCTTGATTACTGTTGCTGGGTTTGACAAAACTAGTCTCGCTGGGGTTTATTCTCATAGGAAACAATGGAAAATACCGGGAGATTTAACTTTCTCATAATTTGAATTGAATTGATAATTCTGTCCAAAATGTGGTGTCAGTGATAGAGAACAAACGTGGCTACAGTTGAGTGAACGGGCATTACATGACATATCCGAAAACTGGTGAAAACTCCCTCAGACATTGTCTTGTCCAGATGTCTGACGGTAGCCATGGCCACTAACGTGAGCTGCCCCCCCGCGGTTGCTAGCTCTCTCGCCCGACGTTAACGTTATATTGAGAGTGTTTACAAGTTTAACACCACAGTAATAGTTAGCTGACGTTATATAAATAGCAATGTTGTCCTCTACAAACGTTAACGTTGCCAGCAAGTTAACGTTTAATACGAGCCGGGCCTGTCTGAGGCCTGCCCAACAGGTTAGCATAGCGAGCTAACAACAGTCTGTAGCTAGCGTAACATTGTTGGATCACATCATCTCTTATAAAATAAATAAAAAATAAAAACTACTACGGGAATACGTTCTGGATATCTCAAGTCACTGTTGCAGACACCCCAAGCACACCTTTAACCATGTACCAGTACGTTAGCAACTGTTGCTATGGGGAGGAACACTCTGGTTGGTGGGTCAGCAGACCAATCAGAAAGCCAACAAAGAGTGAATTCACCATTTTGGAGGGGATTATGTAGTACTGCTATTATAGTAGTACTGCTATACCACTTTATGGACTATTTCTCACCCAGTTTCTGCTGATGGTCCTGGTTAATTCCTAGTGAACTATAGAGGTCCTGGTAGGTGGATTTTGCTACCCTAGAACTAGCTGTTTCCTTCTCCTGCAGTCTTTGTATTAAGATAAGATAGACGGCAGCTGGCTCCATTATTGAGCAGACATGAGTAGTGTCTCCTAGCAAGGAAGCGAGTGCATTTTCCATAATGTAAAACTTTTTCAAATACAATGGATTTTTAAAAAGCATGCCTAGCATGGAGATACAACTCTCTTAACATCACTATGTAAGATAACATACTGTACCTTTTTTTGTCTGTGAATGACTTTTTGCAAGACAAAGGGCATATATAAAATATATATTAGTACATGCATAGCAAACCAGTCACCAGAATACATGTTGGCATTGTATCTTTCTGCAAACCACGGATACATTACATCTGCACGTTATTATGTAGCAGACACATTGAAACTCTAGTCAGCAACGCTGTGGTTAATGTGTGGTTGTTAAGGCACAAAAACCACTTGGTTATGGTTAAGAAAATATGTTTAAGCTTAAAAAAACTAGTTATGTTGGTGTAATTCCAGCTGGAACTGCAGTGATGTCTTGGTAAATTTTTATGTGGCACTATCCCTGGTGGAAACACAGTGGCAGGTCACTAAAAAACACCAATGCTTGGCGGATTAAAAGCTGCTAAAAATGCAGCTATGGCTGATTACAAAAAATCAGTTTTGTCTCTCCATATCAACATGTGAATGATTTAATAAATGATCCAAAACCTTTTTTTTTCTTTTTTAAATGCAGTGATTATCAAAGATGCTGTGTGAACCATCTGTGTGTCTCCTGATCAGAGAGCTGTGTTGTATCTCCTGTATCTGCTGTTATTTAAGATAGACATCACTGAAGCAGAGAGAAAGTGAACCTCTGTTGCCATGCCGATCTATCTTTGGTTACAGGATGAGGCGCCAAGTGATGGTTGGTCAATATTTATAGACTCATAACAGCATGTGCACGTTGGTTTTCTTCTGTCAATTTGTACATCTCCTTCTTCTCCCCCAACTTTCCACCCTCCAACCCACCTCCGATTCATCAGCCCTCTTTCCACCTCACTAATCTTTTTCTCTCCATTCTCCCATTTAATATGCTTCTCTCACTTCTGAGTCTTTATGACTCTACTTTGCTCCCCAGTGTTTATGTAATGGGTACTTTCAGTGCCATTTTTGCGTTGAAGCATCTTAACTGTGTTTGACATCTTAGCCCCATCTGGCCACAGCACCGTGCGAGGAGCTGCTTTTGTTAAGGCAGGAGAAAATTGGCCTAACGCAGTCAACGCTATACCGCCAACACTTAAGGGTACTTAGCTTTCCCAACTACTCCCTTCTGTGCTGTGGTAGCAAAGTGGTAGTGTGGGGCTCTGCTTGCCCTAACGATCCACAATAGATCGCCCAAACAAGTCAAGAGACATAAAATAATAAAGTCTGCCTTTTCTCTCTGTTGTTGTGTTAAAAAGGAGCTCTGAATAAGAGCAAGTACATATTTAAATCATGAATCAGTATTGAATGAAGCTTCATATTTGTTAATAATCAGAACATGTGCAGAAATAGCTGGTCAAAAGAGGAGAGAGAAAATTAGGAAGAAGATTGTGACAGACTAACCTCCATGAACGTATCAGGACTGATCATTCCCCTCGGCTGGCACCCAATCAGAGCCAGTTTCTTGCCTAGGGAGACATCAGGGCAAAGGAGCAAAGGGAGCTGTCAGGGTCCAACCAAAACGCCTAGTAATTACCCTGAATTATCATCCTATCTGCTTACCATCCCACATGTTACAAAGGCACTCGTAACAAGCGTTAATAATTACACCATACTCGACTTGCATCTTACCAACAGCCCAAATCCCTCTCATCGACACTGATTGGATGATTAAATCATGGATTTTATACAAGGATTTGCAATTAGGGATGGAGCTGTGAGGGTTTCTCGCTCAAGGGACATACACTACTGATATTTATGTAAAACCTGTGCTGCATTTTAGAAGAATGGCCTTCATATTACTGGTCTCAAGACTAATTGGCATTCACATAATAGGCAACAGTTCCTAAAAACAATTTGTTTTTTATGTCAGAAAAATGTTTTAATCAACATTTGCAGCACAATTAGTACGGCTAAAAACCTATGACCATATTTGTTTGTGTTTGTTTTGTTATACTGTTCCTCCGCTGACATGAATGCTTTATTTGTACCCTTTCAGAGTGTCTCCAACTGTGTATATTGAATTCTCCCGGCTTCATGCTACTCCTGTCCCTTAAAGCTGGGGTGGCAGAAATCTGGACAAGAAAAAAAACAGAATTTCAAAATCTACCCTCCTTGAGGCCTGAGCACCAACCACAGGCTGTAGCGAAGGCCCTACTAAAACTAAAGACTCTTTTTTCCCTCCAAATTAATTGCATTTTTTGATGGGCTAAAGCTGCTTAAAAAAGCATGAAACTTTGCACATGCATCAAAACAGGTGATAAATTGGGTGATTTATCTGATCTATCTGATTACAGAACGGCTCAGTCGTGAGCCCTACAAAACTTAAGCAAAGTAACCTCTGCGGTGCGTTTCACCTAGATGTACAAAAAAATTGGGAGGCACATGTGACATCCCAGTAAGTAAGTAAACCCAACAGGAAGTCAACCACCCTCTCTGTCCCATGCCCTTTCCACCAGACGACTATGGGCATATGCACGCGCTTCATACGCTTACCCAGCGTTTCCCATACATTGTCAGATATCAGCGTACAGTTACACACAGATTATTCACTCAGCCCCTCCTTGCCACAATTTCTCCCCGTGTTCACAGACCACAAATCAAACAAGAATTAGCAAGCTAACATTAGCCACCCCCCGTCCCTTCGCTTCACTCTCTGCCGACGTGGACATCTTCCTCGGAAGAAGCTGGCAGCAGCTTGGGAGCCAAACCTTCAGTCAATGGATGTAGCAGCTCCAATTCAGCCAGCGGTCTGTAGTGGCGGGGAGTGAGGCGGAGGACACGCTGTGATTCAGAGCTCGAGCTAATATTAGTTACATAAACGTGACCTTAAAGCTGCAGCCATGAGCCTTTGGCCCCAGTTAGCAGAAGGTTAAACATTTTTTTTCCATCTCTGAAAAACTTTGTTGATGTTGACATGTTTTGATGACTGCCAGACTCTCTTTCTGACTCTCTGGTAATAAGTCAGTCTTCCTTTTTGGGTGGGTTTGTACTGTAAGCAGTTGTTGCCAGTGCTGGAATAGCAACTTTCCCTGCATGACTCTCTGCTGTTGAATCAGGCTTTCACCGAAGGGACGTGCACGTGCATCTCATTTGTAAAACAGCCGATAGAACCGCCCTCTGAAATGACCTGTGATTGGCCAAAGTCTCCCCTCACAGTATAGATTTTCCGAAGCTTGCAAACTGTAGTTTTCTCTCCATCCACTTGATTTACAATATGCTCAAAGTTTATCATGGGTTTTCGCCCTGTGACACCAAAATTAAACTGCCAAACGGAGCTTTAACCTTCAGCTTTGTCTTGTTGCTTCTGCTTAGGGCGGGCTCTGATGAGATTGACAGACAGAAAGCTGGAAAGAATGGGCATCATGCAGGAAGCCCAGAGGCAGCACATCCTGCAGCAGGTCCTGCAGCTTCGCGTCCGGGAGGAAGTCAGGACCCTTCAACTTCTCACACAAGGTAGATTTTTCAGCACACGACCTCACCCTCAGTCCATCATAAAACACATAAAACATGCTGGAGACGTTTCACTATAATACTGTTTGTACATTTGCACTCACGCTTCAAAATACTGCAGGTGTTTAGAGCACATAGTGTATCTGTATCTCTCGCGGGTAAAGATTGTTCACAAGGACACAGACATCTCACATTCTGATAAATATTCAAATCATTTACTGCACAGCATTTATGTGCATGCCATCTGTAGTCATGGCAATCACTGCATGTTTTAAAGCTTGCAGGAAGAGATGAATCAGAAATGATTATACAACAACAAGAGTCATGGACAGATTTTCTCCTTTGGTATTTTCTGGTGTAAAGTGATCACAGAGCGGTCATTATATATGCTGACTTCTCGATGTTGAAGTCCATAGATATGTCTTTGTGTCATTTCGAGCTATTCTGCAACATGATAACATGGTGCAGCTTTGAGGCCTGGACAAACCAGGATTTAAATTTTGTAGTGAAATCAATTCATTCTCGTGATAAGAGGATCTGCTTGAGAAGATAAATCTGTGCAAATGTTAACCATAGAGTTGATGAGCTTAGACAAGGAACAGCGTTGACCAATAGCAAGCCATCTTGACAGCCCTGACCTGTTTTCCCTGTTTGATAATGTTTATTGAATCACATGGTGTGCAATGATGAACAGATTGCCTAAGGGAAGTAAACACAACAGGTCAGTGAATAAAAGAGAAAGAAGCTATGGGAGCTACTGACAAGTGCTAGCCTGGCCAGGCTGGCAGCTCGCCCAATTAGCTCACCTCACCAGCTACAGCATTTTGCAGGTAGCCCTGCAAATTGTCACTTTGTGACTAAGCTTTAGGTCCAACGCGTTTGCCAGGCACGCACAGAGGGTGAGGCTGAGGGTGCCTGAGCACCTGTCCTTTTGCCTCTTGAAATTCAAAGTGCCCTTTTTTGGGGGATGGGGGTGGGGGGTCAAGTCACTGTCATTTGAGAACAATGTGTAGCCTGTGGAGTTTTTTTATGAACCAATAAAGTAATGTTTTCATTCACTCCTCCTTACCAAAATTATATCTCTTATTGAGGCCTGATATAAATGCTAAATGCATTTCTAAAGATGATAGCCAGTTTAGTTTAGTTTAGTTTTTGGGTTGTTTGTCCGTCCACATGTCAGTCTGTACGTCTGTTCGGCTGTCCATGCGTCTGTATGTGCGTCCCATTCTTGTGAGCCTGCTATCTCAAGAATGCTTTGAAGGAATTCCTTCAAATTTGGCACAAATGTCCAATTGGACTTAAAACTGTACTGATACATTTTTGGTGGTCATAATATCAAAGGTCAAGGTCACTGTGACCTTGTTTGTCTCATTCTCTTTATGTGATATCTCAAAAAAGGCCTTGAGGGACTGTTTTCAGGATAAAAATAATGAAAAAGGTCAAAGATCAGCTTCATCATAATCTTCTGCAAAAACACTTTGCTGGCCATTACTCAGTGTCATAATTTGGGAACAGAGGGTCAGATACTGAATAGGTGACACTAATCTTGGGTGTCCACCTTGAAACTGTGCTGATTGTACTATAGATGGTCTATGGTGCTGGACGGAAGATGTGTGTGAAGCATCCATGTTTTCACAGACATGGATGTAAACTGTAAGTGCAACTTGATGAGTGTGCGGAGGCATACAACTGTTTTATGCCATCTTGTTGACTCAGACTTGGCACATCAATGGATTGGTGCATCCTTATGCAAAACATTGCAACATAGCCTAATAATAATTAAAAATGTCACAGGGACTTTTAGGATTGACAGCATCACTTACTCACCCAAAGGTTGGAAGGTAATAACTCAGGCTGCTGTTAAGCTGGGAAGTTGTTTCACGTCACGTTTCAGGCATGATTGTAGAGTCTAGAGTCTACCTACTGCATGCAAGACACTCATCTCCACAATATGTGTAGGTGCTATTTCACTCCAACGCAAGCATGAAGACAATCAGTGCTGGCCCACTGACAGAAGAACAAATACCTTCACAGTTTTGCAAGCTGCGGTTAATACTCAAAAAAGGAAACACAGTCAGTGTTACTGTAAGAGGAGATTAACAGTTTATCAAGCTTGGCTGAAAGATCTGCACTGAGTAGCGTGAATTTAGAATACATTCTTAAGAAATGACCTTCCTATAAAAGATTAGCTTATTATTAGAAAGTATTACAGATAGAATGTCGAAACCACTTCTGTTACAGTAAAAAGTTTGTCCAATAAAGGAAGGGATTGCCTGGAAAGTCTTGAGTCTTGAGAAATATTCAACAGAGCAATCCAGAGGGCATGAGATAACGAAGATTTGTAGCTATTGGTATAAACCATGGAAACAGAATTAGAGTAGAAAGGATATTTACACCCAAACCAACGTAGCAGGATGATCAGAGCGCTGGCCTTTTTGTGTGTACTGTTGCAAGCATTCTAGCGGGCTAACTTTCGTAAACTGATAAAACCCAGGTACCTCAAACTATATTTAAGTGCGGTTTGGATTAAGCATAATCCAAATCACAATTCATTCATTCATTTACCATAACTGCTTATCATGTTGGGGGTTGCGGGGGGCTGGAGCCTATCCAAGCTGACATTGGGCAAGAGGCGGGGTACGCCCTGGACAGGTCACCAGACTATCGCAGGGCTGACTTACAGGCAATTAAGAGTCACCATTTAACCTAACCTGTATGTACCTAACCTCTTTGGACTGTGGGAGGAAGCAGGAGTACCCAAAGAAAACCAACGCTGACACAGGGAGAACATGCAGACTCCACACAGAAGGGCTCCCCTACCCTGGGGTTCGAACCCCCACCCTGGGCTGAACCAGGAACCTCTTACTGTGAGGCCACAATGCTAACCACTGTACCATGCTGCCCACCAAATCAGAATTATTGAGATGTGAACATGCTTTATATTCACAAAATATACAATATACTCATCCAACTGATTTACATTATTACCTCTGCTGAATGTGACCTTTCATCAAAGACATATGTAATGTGCTCCAACAACATTCAGCTTTCCCCTCTGTTAACTTTGCTGCTTATGATTTACAGAATTTGCATTTCATTATAACACATTTGTTGGCTGTTACACAAGGGACCAACCCCTCCCCCATTAATATTTTTCTATATGCGCAGTGTGACACCCTGCAGTTTCTCACTTTAACCTCATTTCTTTGTTGTCTACTCAACGCACTTCACACTTGGCACAATGCGCCTGGCTGTTGTTTTCCATCTTCTCCTTGCTTTCTCCGTCTCACCCCATGATTCTCAGCTTCCCTTGTCTCTTACTCGGCAATTCTAGCAGCTGCCCTCCTCCGTCACCGCTACCACTCCACAACACCACCCCTACTTCCATCAGCACCCGTCTGCCCACAGACTCTCAAACAGAGCCTTGCCGCAGGGGCTGAGAAACAAATTCTAGGGATCTTTGTCACTCCGGCCAAATTCTTGGAAAACATTTGGAGTGTAATAAAGCAGCTCCTATCCCCCGCTGCTGTTTTGGTCCCCCAGCAAGTGGAAAATAGAAAGAGAAAGAGAGAGTGCAGGGGAGAGTTTAGCTGAGTGATGACACTTCGCTAAGGGCTACTCTCAGTCTCCCATCCTTTTCCTCCTCGTGCTCTCTGTCTCATCTTTGCCACTCTTTTTCTCCTCTCCTCTCCTCACCCCTCCTCTCCTCTGTATTGATGATATGGGAAGCGACAGCCCACCTTGCCTCAGCAGCGATAGGCCGCTGGCCTCAGCAGGAAGCAGCCTGTTAGTAGAGCCGAGCTGGGCCTTGGGGAGAAAGGACGGAGGAATATTAGTGGAAGTAGGGAAGAAATTTGAAACGAGAAGATGTGGAGGAAGAGGAACGTTTTTTTCATGTTCTTATTTGAGAAAATTAGGTGTACATGCTGTTTTGCATGACATGAATTATGTATAAACTCATGAAAATCATCACAGGAAGTAATAACAAATGCTAGAAGCAAGGATAAGGTCTTGTGAGGAATTAAATTCTAAAAATATAAACAATTTTAATTTGATAGCGGTGGTTGCGTTGTGCTTTATTGTAAGCATTGTTTGAAGTTTCTTGTATCTGCCAGCTGTATCACTGAGAGTATGTGATGGGGAGAATGTGCAACAGTGAGAAAAGGAGTAGAGGGAAACAGAAGTATTTTAAGTCTCCTAAGCTGTCGCTTCTGGAGATGCTTTTGGCAGGGAGCGAGAAATTGGAAGGAGAAGAGATGGTGGAGTATTTCCAGGCCCAAGGCACGCTTCCTCGAGCTGTTGCTAGAGGGAAATACAGCTGTAACCAGCAGGAAGCCGAGCCAGAGAGGGAGAGAAAGAAATGTGAGAGGGAGAAGGTGGAGAGGAGTGGTGGTGAGAAGATGATGATGAAGACAGAGAAAGAATGAGGAGGAGGGATGGTGAAAAGAGTGGGGAGAGAGGGAGACAGTAGGTGTCGAGAAGGTAGGATGAGAAAGAAAAGGAAAGGGAGAGAGGCAGTGAGAAGACAGAAAAAATGGAAAGTAAGGAGTGTGAGAAAGAGAGGAGGTGAGAAAAGGAAACCCTCCTCCCTCTGAGATCTGATGGAAGACAAATATACAGTACAGGCCAAAAGTTTGGACACACCTTCTCATTCAATGCGTTTTCTTTATTTTCATGACTATTTACATTGTAGATTCTCACTGAAGGCATCAAAACTATGAATGAACACATGTGGAGTTATGTACTTAACAAAAAAAGGTGAAATAACTGAAAACATGTTTTATATTCTAGTTTCTTCAAAATAGCCACCCTTTGATCTGATTACTGCTTTGCACACTCTTGGCATTCTCTCCATGAGCTTCAAGAGGTAGTCACCTGAAATGGTTTCCACTTCACAGGTGTGCCTTATCAGGGTTAATTAGTGGAATTTCTTGCTTTATCAATGGGGTTGGGACCATCAGTTGTGTTGTGCAGAAGTCAGGTTAATACACAGCCGACAGCCC